ACATATGGTAATATGAGCCAGGTATCTGATGACATTTCCAGCATTTTTCAGATTTGTTCTTGAACATTCTTGCTATTCTTGTCGGGGGGAAATGCCACCTGTAAAACATCTTATACAAATTTTCTTTATATGCTGTTGACATTGTCATTTTATAATTTTGAGACCACAATTTTTGCTATTTCTCTAAATCGATCCCATATCCAAAATTCTTCCCCCAAGCAATCAGTTTCTTTAACTTGTTCTTCTTCTAGTTTAATTTCTAATAGATATCCATACAATTTTTAATCACCTTTTCATCAGTACCTGTCAAAATCTTATCTAGGTCAGTCAGTTTATCATAGAAACCTTCTGTTTTAGAATCTTTATCATACCTTGAGTGTATTTGCGCATATGAAAACCAATTCATCTTTATACCTTGTTCCTCTAGTTTTTTCATAGATTTAAGTTCACCCTTTTCATTCAGTATTTCACCATATCTAACTGTTTGTTCCTTTTTGTATATTATAGGATAAGAAAATGCTTCAATAGTCAATAACCAGACTGGAATTTTCAAATAACATTGTCTTTTAATCTTCTCCCAGTTTAACCACAGAGACTCCCGTATATAATGTCTTCTAAAATACCCCTGTGTTTTAGTTCCTTTATACCATAAAAAAGCATGCCACCCCAACAACAAATCATGTCCTTCTCATGTCAACAATCTAGCGTTTCTTAGTGTTATCCATTCCTTAACCCACATCAGATTTGTAGCTTGGTAGTACAATTCCCAATTAGGCAAACCAAATCCTCCTCTAATTCTAGCATCTTGCAAAAGTTTTAACTTTATTCTCGCTTTCTTATCTTGCCATATATATTTCAACACAATTTTATTTAAATCTTCAAAGTAGTCTTTTCCAAGCCTAATTGGAATTGTTTGAAACAAATATAAAATTCTGGGTAATATATTCATCTTGATTGTTGAGATTCTCCCTATTAGTGAGAGTTGTAAGTTTTCCCATTTCGCCAAATCTAGCGCTATCTGCTGTTTAAGTTTAATATAATTATTCTCTTTTAATGTACTACATCTTGCTGTCAAATATATCCCCAAGTACTTGATCTTATTCGTGACTTGAATTTTCAATAGGTCTGCCAGTTCTTCCTTTTGTCTTAATAGCATATTCTTTGTCAAAATCTTTGTCTTATCTTTATTTATTTTCAAACCAGCCACCTTTCCATATGTCTCTATCTTTTCTATCAATTTTGATGCTGTTTCTAAAGGGTCTTCTCAAATGAAAACCAGATCATCCGCAAATGCTTGCAGCTTAAATTCTTCCTTTTTGATTTTCATTCCTTTTATATTCTTTTCATCTCTAATATTTCTGTTTAGTACTTCCAAAGTTAACACAAACAACAAAGGTGATAGTGGGCACCCTTGTCTTGTTCCTTTTCTTATATTAATAGAGTCTTGTCAGCTCTCCCTCTATCATTACCTTTGCCGTTTGCTTATAGTATATAGCTTCTATTGCTTGAATAAATTTTCTAGCAAAACCCATCTGTTCCAACAGTAATAACATGAATTACTCTCATATTGTCTTTAATTTGTCTCTTTGGCAGAAATCCATTTTGATAAGGATGGATAAAATTATTTAAATATTTTAAAGTCTTTCTGCCAATATTGAAACAAAGATTTTGTAATCTGCATTTAGTAGAGAAATGGGTCTATAGTTCTTAATTTGTAATGGGTCGGCCTCCTCTTTAGGAATAAGTGTAATATAAGCTTCTGACCATGATTTAGGTATCCTCTTCTTTAACATAACTTCATTCATAACTTCTAGCAATGGAAGATTCAACAATTCTTGTAATGTTTTATAAAATTCTGCCGGAAGTCCATCTGGGCCTGGTGCCTTCCCATTATTTTGCTTCTTGAGTGCTTCAGTTAACTCCATCATCGTTATGTTGCTTTCTAACATTTTTTCAGTCTCTTTAGGTATCTGAGGTAAATTAGCATTCTGTAAGTACTGCTTGACTCTTTCTTCATCAATATTCTCTTGCATATATAATTTCCCATAGAAGTCTCGAATGATTTCCTTCTTCTCTTTGCTACCATGGCAAACTTGGCCTTGGTCATCTATTGCAATATTTTCCTTGATTCTTTCTCCTTTCTCAATTTGTATGCTAACCATCTACCTGGTTTGTTTGCGTCTTCAAAGTAGTTCTGTTTAGCACCTCTAATTTTCTGTGCTAATTCTTCTTTTTCTATTTGACCCATTTTGTGTTTAATTATATCCATTTTTAGCTTGATGTCCTTTTTCTGTGGCATTTTCTGTAACTCTTTTTCGAGTCTTTTATGCTCATCTTCTAGGACCTTAGCGGCTTGCCTTTTCATAGTATTCCTTTTCCTTGTATAGTCTATTATCAAGCCTCTAACATATACCTTCATTGTATCCCATACATTCTGAATTGATGTGTCCTTTTTTTTTTCTCTAAAGAAAAAGGCCAATTCTTTCTCCATCCACTGTGTGAAGTCTTTTTCCTTTAAAATAGTATTATTTAACGTCCATCTAGATCTTTTTTGTCCTTTCCATTTAATTGTCATTGGATTGTGATCTGCCCAAGTACTTGTTTCAATATTTATTTCTTGAATGTTAGATATTAATTCTGTTGACATCCATATCATATCTATTCTGGACCATGATAAGTGTCTATTTGAATAGAAGGTGTATTGTTTAGTTTTAGCATTTCTTTCTCTCCATGTATCTTTTAAGTTTATTTCATCTACCATTTTAAAAAAAGATTTAGGGAGAGTCTTTCTGTTTTGCTTTGTTGTTTTCTGTGCTGTATAGTCCAATTTGTTGTCTACAATTCCATTAAAATCTCCCATCATAACTATATTAGCATAGTCCAGTTCAATTATTTTCATATTTAGTTTTTTGTAGAATTCTTCTTGTTTGTCATTCGGAGCATATATTGCAATCAGGAGTGTTTTCATATTATTGTCCATTATTTCCACCATTAGTATTCTTCCATCATCATCAATATAGATCAATTTTGCTGGGGTGGTCTCTTTAATATATAAAACCACTCCTCTTTTCTTACATTGGGTCAAAGAAGTAAATATTTTCCCTAATTTTGGCTGTACCAACAATTGTTCATATTGTTTTTTAATATGTACTTATTGTAGACAGATTATATCAAATTTTAATTTCTCCATTTTATGAAAGGTTTTCCTTCTTTTAACGGCTGGATTAAGTCCATTTATATTAGTTGTAATCATTTTTTTCTCTTCCATGGTTATATTTTACAGTTAGGTTTAGCAGCTCTCCAAGAGGACTGCCAAATGGCGACTGAAAAAGAAGGCGCAGTAGGTGGAAAGGTGGAAGCCAAAGAACAACGAAAAAATCTGACTTATGACCAGGTCTTGTATTTATGACCGTTGCGGCATTCCCCACAGTCACGAAATCAAAATCCAGGCCCTTGTACAACTAGTAGTCCTCAACTTACGACCACAATTGAGCCCAAAATGTATGTTGCTAAGGGAGTTTTGCCTCGTTTTACGACTTCCCTTTGTCACATTTGTGAAAAGAATGGCCAGTTGTGAAATTGGTCGTTAAGTGAATCAGGTTTTCCCCGTTGACTTTGCCAGTCAGAAGGCTGCAAAAGGAGATCACAGGTCACTGCGACCGTCGTAAATATAAATCAGCTGTCAAGCATCCGAATGTAAATCACAGGACCATCAGGATGCTACAATGGTCTTAAGTGTGAAAAATGGTCACTTTTTTTTTTAGTGCTGTTGTTAACGTCGAATGGACACTAGGCAAAGTCAAGGATAAGTCAAGGACTATCTGCATTTATGATGGTTGCAGTGTTCCGGAGATCACGTGATCACCAGCTGCAACCTTCCAACAATGGGGAAACTGGATTCGCTTAATGACCACATGCTTCATTCAACAGCAGTGATTCCCTTAACAACCAGAGGCCTCCCAAAATAAAAGGCGGTAAAATCAGTCACGACTCATTTAATGACCGCCTTCTTAGCAAGAGAAATTTCAGCCCACAAATTACGGTTGTAAATCGAGGACTACCTGTTTTACAAGCCCCCCCACACACACACACAAACAGTGCCCCTTATTCCTGCTGGCCAATCTTTGGTTCGCTGATAATGGCTTCTACTCCAACTTCCTGCTTAAGACTTGCGGACTTTGACTCCCAGAATTCCCCAGTGAGAATTCTTCAGTCGAGCAGCCATGCCTGCCGGCTGAGGAATTCTGGGAGTTGAAGTCCGCAAGTCTTCAAGTTGCCAAGTTACGAGATCTCCTGATTTAAACCAAGGGTATCAAAACTCAATTTCACTGAGGGCCGCATCAGGGCAGTGGTTGACCCGGGGGAGGGGCAACTGGGTGGGCGTGGCCAACTGGGTGAGCGTGGCTAGTTGGAGACCACTTCCCCAAACTGCTGGCATGTTTCCTCTTCCCATTGGGTAGACCCAGATGGCCCCGTGGGCAGGATCTCACCACATCACGGGCCAGATCGGGCCCACAGGCCATGAGTTTGACACCCTTGATTTAAACCATCATTTCAAGGTTACAGGAAGCTGTGAGCAAATGCAGATTGTCCAGCCAATCTGTCTGTCCTAAAATCAAAACATGACAGCCACTCGCAAAGAATTAACTGCCTTTAATATCTGCAAAAATATAAATAAATATCCATTTGAGAATAGTCATGTAAGGCAGTGCCCAGAGCAATTTTAAAACGTGCCATCTCTCTTTCTTTCCTTCCTTCCTTCTCTTTTTCCTTTCATTTCTCCCTCCCTTTCTCCCTTATCCTTCGCTGTCTTTCTTTTCCTTCCTTCATTCCCTCCCCTCCACTCCTTCCTTCCTCTCTTCTTCTTCCTTCCCTTCCTTTCTTCCTTTGCTCATTTCTCTTCTTTCCTTCCTTTCCTATCTCCCTCCTTTTTCCTTCCTTTCTTCCTTCTTTCCTTCCTTCCTTCCTCTTTCTTTCTCCTTTCTTTCTTTTTCTTTTGGACTACAGTTCCCATCACAAGCTATCCGAGAGCGGTAGGAACGATTCCTATCCTATCCACATTCCTGAGGGTGAAGGAGAGAAGCTTTTCTGGGCAGATTCGGGCAGGGAGGGGTGTAACACAAAGCCCACTTAAGGAGCTAGTCCTCTTGATCCCATCGGTCAGCCAAAAAATAAATTTAAAAACCCCATCTTTGTCCAACCAACCCCAGGTCAATCCTCCAAGATCTCAGCAAAGAGAGCCCTCCGCTTCTTCTCCGCTTGCTGGTGGCTATCCCAATCCCGGCGGCGTTTGAGGAAATGGGTCAAGGCGAAGTTGCGGACGAGGTGGTGGCCGAAGGGGTCGTGTCGTAGCTGGGGCTCGTGCTCCGCTGGGGGGGGGGGGGGGGGGGGGGAAGAGGGGGGCTAAATTTGAGGAATGGCTGCAGGGCACAAATTAAAGTCTCTGTGAAACTGGAGAGGCTGCGTTCACACATGTCTTATGTCCAGTTACGTCTTAGGAGGCCAAATTATGACTGCCGGGTTAAGAGTTGAGATGCTTTGTATGTTTTTGTTCTGACCTGGCCTTCCCCAAAAAGCATTAAGCAGATTCTTTTTTTCTCCCAGCAAAACCTTTTTACTAAATGAAAGTGAATTTCTTGCATTCACATTCAGCCAAGGGGAGGAGCACAGACCTTATCTAGCCTGGAGAGCTACCACGTAACTATTTCCAAACGCAGTGCTGACAAGGAAGGGCTCAGCACGGAGTCTCTGAGACGCACAGATAGATCTTCCCACTGCTGCGACCAATTGTTTCCTACAAAAGCCCCCTCCCCTTTTGCTCCTCTTTTAATCCCTATGGGAGGGACCATTCACCGTCCACCTGTGGCTTTACTCCAGAGTTGACTCTTGTTCCTTAGCTGTTCCCTTCTTCTGGCAGTTCTATGCATGTGCACACTGGGAACAGGCTCCAGCTGTTCTTCTTCCCCACTGATCTCTGATTCTGAAGGCAGCTGATAACTGTCAGGCGGCCCTGGCCCCATCTCTGCCTCTGATGCAGAGCCCCCGTCTTCCTCAACCTCCAGGACTGGCCCAAGGTCCTCCCCAAACTCCTCACTATCTGACTCTGCTGCCAGCTCTGCTAGCTGCCAGCGGACCACAACAGTTTTTTAATTTGGTGTTTCTCAGCCTTGGGCCCTTTAAGAAGTCTGACCGGGTCCCTTTAAGCTATGCTGGCCAGGGAATTCTGGGAGTTGAAGTTCAAAACATCTTACAGAGCCCAAAGTTTAGAAACATTGGTGTCAACCCTGAAGCTGTGAAGCCACTTTGACTGCTTCAGTGTTGCCACACTGGAGCTGAGGGATGTGTGGGGGGGAGGGAGGGAATTTGAGATAGCTGGGATTTTGTAGCCAAAACAAAATACTTTCTCTTGGTAACCAAGGACATTCTCACATCTGGCCGGAGGAAGACGGAGTGAGGTCACTAGGCAACCAGACAGAATCGTGATTGGTCCATGTGACTGACTGTTTTGACAAAGTGAAAAAACTTTTACTTTTAATTAGGTGAAAACCGCGGGAACCTTCAGAGTCGGTTTTCACCAGATCTGTGCCAATATATCCAATACAGCAATTCTTTGAGGAATCTACCTGCCTCAGAGTTTTGCTTTCTATGAATCTATTACTTGGAACTCTGGAAGTGGGGGACTCCGAATTTTGGCCTGGCAGGTTAGGAGTTGGGCTGTTTTCGACGTTTTTTTAATTTGGTATTTCTCAACCTTGGGGCCTTTAAGAAGGTCTGTCTGGGGCAAGAAAGGAAAGGAAAGGGAGGGAAAGGAAGGGAAGGGAAGGGAAGGGAAGGAAAGGAAAGGAGGGAAAGGAAAGGAAAGGAAAGGGAAAGGGAGGAGAAAGGAGGGAAAGGAAAGGAAAGGAAAGGAAAGGAAAGGAAAGGAGGGAATAGAAGGGAAGGGGAAAGGAAGAAAGTGAAAGGATGGGCAAGGTGGGAAGGAGGAAAGGAAGGAGGAAGGGAGAAACAAAGGAAGAGAAAAGGAAGGAATAAAGGAAGGAAGGAAGGAAGGAAGGAAGGGGAGGAGAGGGAAAAGCAGGCACAGAGGCCCCTTACCCAGCTCCTGAGCCAGCTCCCGTCTGGCTGGCAGGCTGGCTCTGCTCCAGATGGCATCCAGCACCCGGCTCCCATGCTTGGAGCAGGCGAGAGGCAGGAAGTGGCCCTGAGAATCCAAAGAAAGAGGAAGAAGAGATGGAACAGTGGTTAAGTCCAGGACTTGCTGTAAATAACGGCCGCAGCGATGCCCAGAATTGTGCCAACTGCAGAAATGAAATGTCTACTTTTGCATACAGATGTTGACACGTTATTGGCCAAGAACCCGAACAATTTGCAGATGCTAGAAAAATTTTGCAATACAACCAGGTGTGCCGCCGATCTAAAAAATAACACGTCATAGATTGTGGGTTTTTTCACAACAACAAAAGGGTTGAAAAATGGCAAATTGCTAGTAAGCCTCAATTTACAACCCTTCATTTCGCTTGAAGTTCTCAACATATGGCAATTTTAAGTAAGACCCATAGAATTCAATTCCCAGAATTCCCTTGCTGGCAGGGGAATTCTGGAAGTTGGAAGTCTACATGTCTTAAAAGTTACTAAGCTTGAGCAAAATTGGGTCTATATTGTTTAAGGGGAACATAAAAATAAACACAGCCATAATTGTTATCGTCACAGCCGCCATCTTGATTTGTCTGCGTGCGACATGACATCCCTGCACGGTTGACCCCCACGCAACAAAAACACACACGACTGGCCCTTAAAACAAGTTCAACCAGCATCCTCCAAAACCCGGAGCGGAATCCCACGGGGGATTTACCTTGAGCTGGCGCAACACTTTCCGCCTGGGCTTTTCAGAGACGGAAGAGCTGGCCATGAGGGCATCGAAGACGTGGCTCCCGGAGGGGTCGCAAGCCAACGTTACCAGATCCGCGGGCGGCATGGCAGCCAAGCTGCCCAGCACGAGGGAAGGGTCTGCGAAGTGCAGGAGATGCTGCAGCATCAGGGAGCCGTGGTAGGAGACGGCGCTCAGGGCCGGCGGCGTCGCACCTTCCTGGAGGAAAAGAGAATCCGACGGTGTGGTGGAATGAGGTCTGGATTCCCAGGAGGGAGGGGCCGCATTCCGGAGGACTGAGAGACAGCTAAGTTTAGATAGTTTGATTAGAAGGAAGAGAGCTGAGACAGCTCCTCCTCAGCAATTCACAGAACAGATCTTTTAACGACCAAACACAGGAATATAAAGTCCTCGACTTACGGACATTTGTTTAGCAACTAGAGTTACGACACCGGATAAAAGTGACTTATGACAGAAAAATTTGATCGATTCGGGGACCTGATCAGCATGAACGCCAAGTAAAGGACTCACAACGCACAGTAATACAGATCGTCCTTGACTTACAACACTGTTATGACTGTTCAATGACACTGGAAAAAGTGACTTATGACTGTTTTTCGCACTTATGACCGTTGCAGCCTTGCCAATCATGTGATTTCTTGGCCACTGACTCCTATCTATGATGGCTGTTGTGTCCCAGGGTCAGGCGATCCCCTTCTGACAAGCCATCAATTGGGGGGAGAGCCGGATTCGCTTAACAACCGTGTGACTGACTTAACAGCAGCAATCCACTTAACCACGGCGGCAAGCAAGGTCGTAAAACGGGGCAAAGCTCGCTTAACAGCTCTCTCTCTCTCTCACTTAGCAAAAGAAGTTGTGGTCGTAAGGTTGAGAACTACCTCCAGTTGTCACACCTACCTGCTCCTTCTCCTCCCCGAAGTAGACCTCGTACGCCAGGACGGAGGCGAGCAGGGGGGCGCAGGCCAACTGGCGGGTGGGGGGCTCCCAACAGTGGAAGGCCTGTGAGGAGGGGAAAAAAAAACCCCACCCAGCTCAACAATTTGACAGAGAAGACAGAACGTAAAACTGATCAGGAAACCAAGCAGGGTTCGGTTACCTCCAAGAGAAGCTGCAACACCTCCTGCTGGTGGGCGCCACGGTTCCGGCAGGCGCCTAGGAGCGCCGTGATAATGCCGAGATGCTCCAGCGCCAGGATTTCTTCCAAGCCAGGGCTCAGCTCCTGAAAAAGCTGCCCCAGCTAGGGACAAGGTATAAATGAGACGATCCTCCTAGGTCAAGAGAAGGGCCTCGTTTCCCCTCTTCTAGGTCGGCGTGGATCAGTTTGACTGATCTGCAACGGATCGCTAGCAGTCGAGAGACCGTTGCTGAATCATATATTTATGTTTATTCTGAGTTTATTATTTTTATAAGTAACTCAGAGTGGCAAACGTATGTCACATTCCTCCCTCCTCCTGTTACCCCCACAATAACAACCCTTTGAGGTGGGTTGGGCTGAGACAGACCGGCCCAAAGTCACCCAGCCGTCTTTTATGCTAAGGTGGGACTAGAACTCACAGTCTCCTAGTGATTGACGAGTCACTTACCTAGCCTTCATGACTAGGATGGGACTAGAACTCACCATCTCCTGATGATTGGCCCAGTAACCTAACCAGCTTTCATGCCTGAGACAGAACTAGAACTCACCATCTCCTGGTGATTGGCCTATTATCACCCAGCTAGTTTCCGCGACTAGGGTGGGACTAGAACTTACCGTCTCCTGGTGATTGGCCCAAAGTCGCCCAGCTGGCTTCCATGACTAGGGTGGGACTAGAACTCCCTATCTCCTGGTGATTGGCCCAATCACCCAACTGGCTTTCATGCCTAAGCAGAACTAGAATTCACCGTCTCCTAGTGATTGGCCCAGTGCATTGGCCTATAATCACCCAGCTAGTTTGCATGACTAGGGTGGGACTAGAACTCCCCATCTCCTGGTCCTTGGCCCAAAGTCAGCCAGCCAGCTTACATACCTAAGGTGAACTACAATTCACCATCTCCTGGTTTCTAGCCTGCTGCCTTACCAGCCCCTGATCCTGCCCCTTCAAAGCCTTAACCAGGTCAGACCCTGCTTAGCTTTTCAAGATCCACCCAAAATCGGCGACATCCCAGGGCCACCGCAAAGCGCCCACACACTTACCAGTTTACGTGAGGCAGCCTGGATGAGCCGTTGCAAAGTGAAGTTGGCCACTTTGTGAGCTGACAAGACGCGGAGCTGCCCCTTCACGTGAGCCTTGTAGAACGAGCGCAGTGCCTTCACCTCCGACACTTCCAGGACTTTGTCCAGAACTCGGCTGCAGGTCGCGTCCTTCAGAAACACCAGGAGGTTGCTGAGCAGGGAGAAACAAGCAACAGGGGGCAGGAATGCACCTCTGTTTTCTGTTTTAAACAAATTTTATTAAGTGTGTGTGTGTGTGTGTGTGTGTGTAAAAGACCACTCATGCATCATCACAAAATCTCCAGAACTGTAATATCCAGAACTGATACAAACTTGAAATTGGGCACGTATGTTCCTCTTGGCTTCTAGGGGCTCACTAAGAAATGGTTTTTTTGAAGTGACCATCAGAGCATTTAGAATATTTCCTATATTGTTATTACTATTAACACGCTCTGATGCTAAGGAGTTCCACTCCCCTTCCCCACCTGAAAAGAAATCTGTTCCAAATGCAAAACACAAGCAGAGGAGAGGAGTTTCAGTTTCACAGCACCAAGCAGCATTAGTCCAGAACAGTTGAGCTAAGCCACACCCAGGCTCCTTGCTGTCTCCTTCTTGCTCACACAGCAAATACTCTTTCAGTTTCCAAACATCCCTCAACTCTCTCACACACTAACAGGATGCTAGCCAGATGAATACCAAGGGATGCTGTTAGGCAGAGGCAGAATTTTTTTCCCTTATTTTCCTCCCTAAAAACTAAGCCCAACCTCATAGCGAAGCACAAGTATCGAGCTAGTATTAAAAAATTGGACACGGTGCAACTTTTCTGGTATTATCTTTGCCATACATACCATAACATAGAACAAATAACCTTCTTATCATATATTGCTAAATTTATACTATTAAACATCTCCTGTATATTCACTTGTATTTACAACACAAAACCTTGTGGTTTGCTATTTGTATACCATCATTTTATCTGCTATACTCTCCTATAATTTACATCCGATATCAATTCTACAATTCATCAATATTTTCTGTTCCGACTCCTTTTCCCCAGATCCAGCCATTGGTCCATTTTATTCCAAACTTCATAATATTTTCTCTCTCCTTTAGTTTTAACCATCAATCTGTCCATCTCTGCACAGACCACAGATCAATTTTCTTTATTGTCTCTCTTTCAGGGGGGATATAACTATTTTTTCCAATTTGGGGGCATAAACCAATCTTGCAGCCATTGTGACATACAATATTAGATATATCAACCCTTTACCATCTCTCTCTTTTATAATTCCTAATAATAGGAATAATTCTGGTTTGAATCCTAAATTTAAGACAAGCGTTTCTTCCAACCATGTCTTTTTATCTGTCGCCTAAATTCCTTTGCTTTTGTGCATGACCACCACATATGATAATACATGCCTGGTACAGGAATGCACCTCCGTTGTTGTCATGTACAACCACATGGATTGGAAATCTCCAAAATCAATTAGGGGAGAGGGGGGAGATTAAGCAAATTGCCGCTGTTGTTAAGTGAATCATGAGGTCATTAAGCGAATCGGGCTTCCCAAATTGACTCTGCTAGTCAGAAGCCGGCTGGGAAGGTCTCAAAATGGCGACCACGTGACCCTGGGATCCTGCCATCGTCATAAATGCGTGCCGGTTGCCAAGTTCCTAAACTTTGACCACGTTACTGTGCGGACGCTACAATGGTCGCAAGTGCGAGGACTGGTTGTTAAGTCGTTTTTTTTTCAAGACCGTCGTGCCTTCGAACGGTTGCTAATTGAATGGGTTGTAAGTCAAAGATTTTAATGCTAATTTGTGTCGAGAATGTGGGTCTCTTTAATACAATATTTCTTATACGGGTAGTCCTCGAGTTACAGCCACAACTGAGCCCAAAACTTATGTTACTAAGTGAAACATTTGTTAGGTGAGTTTTGTTTTATTTTACGACCTTTCTTGCCACAGTTGTTAAGCAAATCACTGCAGCCGTTCAGTAACACGGTTGTGAAGTGAATCTGGCTTCCCCACTGATTTTGCTTGTCAGGTCACAAAAAGGGACTACATAACCCCTGGGCACTGCAACCGTCATAAATACGAGTCAGTTGCCAAGAATTCTGATCATGGGACCATGGGGATGCTGCAACAGTCATTAAGTGTGAACAACAGTCCCAAGTCACTTTTTTCAGAGCCGTTGTAACTTTGAACGGTCACTAAATGAACTCTTATAAATCAAGGGCCGCTTGTATTTCTCCACTTTAGACAGATGGACTTCAACTCCCAGAATTCCCCTTGCAAACTTTTACAGTGACTCCTCCCACCAATTCCCCCCCCCAAACCATCCAACCAATCCAACTGCCTACCTTTGCTGAGCAGCCGGGTTACAGCTGCTTAGGTAGCCAATCACAGACCGGCAGAGCTCAGCACATTCTTCAGGCAGTTTTCTGTGGAGGATCTCCAGCGCCACCTGCAGGCAGAGGCTGAAATATTTGTTGGTGATGAAATCTAGAGGGAAAACAGGTTTTTCTTTAATAAGGATGTTGGTTAAAGGATATTGGTTAAAATCAGGCCAGAAGGGGTATATAAAAGTAGAATACATAAATGTATCATCATCATCATATTTTAACGACCCCATAATCCCTTGCAGGGTGGAGTCTGGGAGAATGGAATTAGTAGTGTTTTTTAATGGCCAGATGCCCTTCCTGTCACCAATGCGGAGTTTTTTTCAGCAGATATATTCTCAGTGTGCCCAGAGAAATATCTGCCTCTACCTAGGATCAAACTCACAGCCTCTATGTATGACCTTCCCTAAATGTATCTCAAGCTCACCCTTTCCCATTCACAGGCATGCAGGTCATCCTCACTTAATGACCATTCGCTTAATGACTTTTTGAAGTTACAACAGGCCCCAAGAAAAGTAAATACCTCACATTTATACTGCCCTCCTGTGGTTATGTGATCACAATAACTGACCGCATAAAAGGTACTTACAACCCATCCTCAGTTATGACTATCCCCCATGGTCATGTGATCACATTTCAGGCGCGCAACCAGCTCATATTTACAACAGGCTGCAAAGTCCTTGAGTCATGTGACCACAATTTACAACATATTTTCCCAGCGTGCAGCAAAAAAACCACCCATTTTTTGAAGGTATTCTTTTAAAGACCACTTGATTCACTTAACGACTGCCATGAGTCATTTGGCCGACATAAAAATGGCTGTAAAATCAAGTCAGCTCACACGGAGACACACTTAACAACTTCCAATTACTTATCACAGAAATTCCATGTTCGCTTGTTGTCATTAAGTGAGGTATTCTCCAGAGAGCTGTGCAAGACTGCCGTTTCCCCACCTGCCCAGCAGATGGCAGCATCTCACCTGCAATTTGTTCCTGGAAGCAGCCTTTGAATTCCCGCAGGAGGGAAAGGAAACTGGCAGGGACCTCGAACACGGCTGGTCCTTCATTCCCCACCTTCGAACTCTTGGCCTGGGGACGAAGAGGCCCTAAAATGGTGGAAAGGGGGAAGGGGTGAATTAGAAGCCCTGATTTTCCTGCAAGGAAAAGATTAATGCATCACCGCTTGGTGTAAACACCCGGCAAAATACGGCATTAACCAGAGTGGCCAACAACTTTGGCAATTTTAAGACTTGCGGACCTCAACTCCCCCAACATGGCTGGCTGGGGAATTCTGGGAGTTGAAGTCCACAGGTTGAGGACATCATACGATGAGCTGAGGGCTTTGTTTCTTATTTGTAAATATAATGGTGGGATACAAATAAATAAAATAAATAATAGAATAAAATAAAAATGTAAAAAAATTAATAAAATAAAATATAAAAAATAAATAAAAATAAAATACAATAGAATAATGTAACATAAAATAATAAATAATAAAATAAATAAAAGTATTAAAATAGAATAGCTTTGTCACTTTGCACACTAATTGGCATACATTAAAAATGAAATTTCATTGCATTTCAGCTCTTAAAGGGTCAATTTTGCACTACATAAACAAAATAAAATAAAATAAAAAATAAAATAAAAATAATAAAATATATAATAAAGTAAAACAAAATAAAAACAAAAATAAAACAAATATAAAATAAAATATATAATAACTATGTGGGGTACAGTGGGCTGAGCTGCAGGAGCTGACCCGGACTTACCACGGGAAGCTTCCAGGACTTTGTGGGGGGGCGGGTGTTAACTCCTCATTCTCACATTGTTCCCACATTGGATCTCAACATGCAGGAAACTCTTGAGATGCCGGATAGCAGCCAACAGCTTCCACCCACCCCTCTCCATCCATCCCAGGATGGGGGACACATTCACTATCCACGACTCACCTGAGCCCGGGAGCCCCCGTCCCCCGTCTGACCCGACACGGGCCCCTCCCAGCACCTGCAGAAGAGTCCGCACCACAAAGCTGGCGTGGGCGTCCAATGCGAACGTCGCCAGCTCCTCCCGGAGGCTCTTCCCCACATCCAGGAGGAGCTCCTCCAGCGCCTGGGCCTCCTCGCCTCCTTCCAAGATCAGCAGCAGGGTCCTCCACAGGGCCCCTTCCAAGACATGGGCCCCGCAGGGGTGGCAGGCGACCGGGCACAGTGAGGGGAGTAGGGCCCGGAGTAGAGGCTCCAAGCGGGCCCCCGAGGCAGACGGCAGCAGCGCCTGGAGGAGCAGTGACCCCGAGGGATCCAGGGCCAGCGGTAACGCCACCCCCATGGCCTCCGTCAGGACGTTGCTCACAAACAGACCTGGGGGGGGGGGGGGCAAAATAAACAACCTTTAGAGGGAGTCCTCGACTTACAACCGCAATGGGGAGCAGAATTTCCATTCCTAGGCAATTGTGAGTCGGTCGCCATTTTGCAACCTTTTCGAATGGTTTAAGCGAATCATTGCTGTCATGAAGTAAATCACATGGTTGTTAAGCAAATCTGGCTTCCCCCATTGATTTCACTTATCAAAAACCATCTGGAAAGATCACAAATGGTGACCACGAGATGCTGGAGCCATTGTCCAGACAGGATAGCCCTCGACTTGCAAGTTCATTTAATGACCGTTCAAAGTTAAAACGGTGCTGTAAAATGTGACTTACAACCGTTTTTCAGTTATAACCTTTGGCAGCCACCTCATGATCATATAATCACTCTTGGCAAACTGATTCGCATTTACGACAGTTGCAGTGCCCCAGGACATTACGCGATCCCCTTTTGCGACCTTCCGACACGCAAAGTCCATGGGGAAGCCGGCTTCACTTAACCACCGTGTGACTATCTTATCAACTGCAGTTTTTCACTTAACAACGGTGGCAGGAAAGGTCGCAAAAGGGAACAAAGCTCACTTAACAAACATCTCCCTTAATAGAAATCTGGGGCTCAAATGCCGGTTACCAAGCTCCCAAATTTCAAGGTGACGGCACACAATCGTCGTGTGAAGAGCAGCTGAAAATCGCCTTTTCAGTGCTTCGAAAGGTCACTAAACAAACCATTGTAAGTCAAGGACCACCTGTACCATTTGGTTAAGTGTTTCTCAAACCTTGGCGAGTCGAAGATGGGCAAACTTCAACTCCCATAATTCCCATCTTCCCAAATTTCTGAATGTCAACGGATCAGGCCATGACCTGGTACTCCTCAACTTAAAAGCGATCACTTACCGACCGTTTGAATTATGACAGACTTCCCTGAAGGTACTTACAACCTAGATTTGAAGGACCAATGGCTGTTCTCTGAGGTCACATGACAATCACCGCCATTTGCGCATAAGGAGTGATGTGACCTTATTTTACAGCCAATTTGCCAACCGGCTTATGGCAAGAGCGGCTCATAGTGACACCACGGATTCACTTAACGACTCCTCCAAATAAGGACATAAAATTTGAGTCGGTCACATGAATGATCCCAGTTACAAACTTCATGAGTTGCAACGATGATGGTCAGGCTCCACCACGATCGTAACTCAAGGATTTTTTCGACAAGCTTTCAAAGTACTTGGTATCTGCCCTAAGTCCATCTTTGAACAGATCTTACTTTTTTCCTCATCGGAGGCAAAGCCAGACTTGAAGGTATCGTGAGCCTGGTGGAAATAGTCCGCCACCGCCGGCTCCAATTTGAGAGTGCTTCCTCCTTTGATCTCCTCGGGGTCTCCCTTCCTGAGCTTAGAAGCAGGTGAGCCACGTCGTCTCTTCTGCTCTTTGCTGCTTTTCGCTGCTTTCTGGCGGTGGGCAGGGGGTCCCATCCTTCTGGACAGCTCTACCAGCCGGCCTTCGAAGGGGAAATCGAGGAAATTAGCAGCAAGGAAAAGAGTCACCTTGGACGGCGAGACAGGCAGCATATAAATTCAATAAATAAATAAAACATGTACATTGAATAAAAAATAAATTTAATAAATGAAAATAAACATAAATGTAATAAAAATCTCCTTTCTCTTTTTCTTTCTCTCTGTCTCTTTTTGCCTTTCTCTTTTTCTTTGTCTCTTTTTCTTTGTCTTTTTCTTTGTCTCTGTTTCTTTTTCTTTATCTCTCTCACTTTCTCTCTCTTTCTTTTTCTTTGTCTCTCTTTTTCTTTTTATCTCTCTTTCTGTTTTTATCTCTTTTTCTTTGTCCCTTTCTTTTTGTCACTCTTTCTCTCTCTTTTTCTTTGTCTCTCTCTCTCAGCCTAACCTACCTCACAGGGTAGTTGTTGTAGGGAAAACAGTTGGGTTTTTTTAAGCATATGAGATAACAAACATGGACTTACAATGTATATTAACATTTCACCTAAATTAATAAAACCGTAAAATAGGAAATAAACAATACACATAAAATATTAACATATAAATTTATATATAAAATATGAATATGTTATACAAGGACATATATATACACACACATGTACACAAACACACTCATATGCCTATATATGCACATATATATGCATATACATAGTATGCATGTGTATATATATGTGTGTGTGTGTGTGTGTCTATATATAACATGTGTGTGTGTGTGTGTGTGTGTGTGTGTGTGTGTGTATTCTATTTATAATGCACGATTTCACTATAATAATAGATAGAATACAATTATTTTGAAATCCCCTTCAAAGCCAACAACCAAAGTTTCAAAATCAGTTTAGGCTGAATTTCACAGTCCAAGGTCCAAGGTCATAAAATACCCAAAACACTCGTGCTTTTTCATCCACCGCCAGATCTCCTGGCCGCTTCACCGGTTGCATTTCTGCCTGCAGCCAACTTATCCGGAAGCGCAGGAAAGAGGGGGGGGAGGGTAAAGTCACCGGGAAGGCTGGGAAACTCCAATAAAAGCTGCAAAAAAAAAAAAATCAGAATATTTTTGCAAGACTTACAGGAAACGCCCGGCTCAAAGTTTGCTCTGGCTGCCGCTGCTCCTAATGGATTGCAACAGGATCCCGCATCCCCCACACTCGTTGCAACCATTTGCAAACCTGGGCAGCACGCGGGATGCCCGGGCTTCTCCGCGCGTGCGCGGGACTCTCGCAGGCCACGCCTCCGCCCCGCCCCCCCGGAACTCTAGGCAGGAGCTTCGCCACGCTGCCTCCCAACATGCCCCGCGCGAGGGAACGATCTGCGCTGGCCGCTCCTCCCAGAAAACATTGCTCTCGTGACGTCATCCTATTTTTCGTTCATTGGCTCGTTCGCTCATTGCGTCACCCATTCATTCATTTTTTTGGTGAGGTCTGCGTGGTTTCTGGATGAGCGAATGAAGACGAGAGGGAGGGAAATTTATTTTAATTCTCTTGAAAGTGCTAGCGATTCACGTTATGGGAGAGGATTGCCCTTGCCAGAGAATGGGAGTATCATACCCATCCTCCCCAGCCAAAGGACAAAAATAGGAATAGGAATAAAATAGGGTAGGGCAGGATAGGACAGAATTCAGAATTCAGGGTAGCATAGAATAGAATTCGAATAGAATATAGAATAGAATAGAATTCATAATTAGAATAGAAGATAGAATAAAAAATAAGAATAGAATAGAGTAGAATAGATTAGGATAGAATAGAAATTAGGATAGGATAGAAAAATTATGTATTGGCCAAATGTGATTGGACACACAAGAAATTTGTCCTGTCAGTCAATTGCAAAAGGCAGCTTCACTCAGAACAGCTGACATCCTGCACATATTACCTATAACCCCAATACAATGATTTATTAAATGTATTTTTATTACAATTCTTTAGTTATTACATTGATTTACTGCATTTATTAAGTTATGTATTCAATTGATTGACCACATATTTATTTCATTTAATACATATATTTAATTTGCTTGTTAATTAAATTTATATACTGCCCGTCTAACTCTGCAAAGCTGTTCTGAAAACCTTGGACTTTTGGCTGAAAATGGAGGGGGCGGGATGAAATGGCGATTTCCAGATATGTCAATTCAAAGGTCTGAATGCAGGATAGAAGGGAACTAAGCAATACAATCTCAAAAATTGTGAAATTATCTTATACAATACTTCACAATATTATTTTTGTGTCAATCAAATTCCATATGTTATTGTTTTTCCTACAATAGCATGTTAGTATTCTTTATTTATTACCTTTAGCAATTATATATCTTAACTTAAATAATACACATTTCTATAAAATATATTCTCCTACTTTTTTCTTTTTAACCATTATCTATTACTCGCATTAAAGCTTTAGTTTTTTGTTTCTTAGCTTGTCTCCCATATTCCTCTCCTACATTTCCATCTCTAGCTACCACTTCTTGACCTTTCCTCTTAAACATTTCTTCCTTCTCTATTATATTCCATTGTCTCTTCATATAGTTCCTTACTATTTTTCTTTCACCCTTTCTTCTAATTCCCTTTTCCACATCACTGATTCCAGGAAAAACAAAATCTTCAATAAAAAAAATTGTAAGCCGCCCAAAATTGCTGGAGAGGGAGAAGAGTGCCATGTGAATTTGCTAAATTAAATTAAAATCATTATACAGTATCAAGAATAAGCAACCTGCAGGAAGATGCAAAATGGCAGCCTGTGCAGGTCTGTGAACTTGGCTCCTTGGGTGAAGTTGGGCCAAGACATGTTGACACCTGAGAAAATCCCGTTTCCTGGCAATTCAAAGACAATAATGGCTTAAATATTTTTTCTCTCTCCACCTATCTCTGCCTCCTGAATGATGGGGAAGGCCCTGCAAACACTCCTATTTCAACAGAATTCAAGCTTCCTCCTTCAAAACCTCATATTGATTCATGAGAGCCACACAGGGCAGGGCAGCCGCACAAGGGCAGAGCCTCCAGATTTGAATATTTTCCGTCACGGTGGTGAGGAATACAGCTAATCCTTGACTTACAGTGACAAGCGAACCCAACATGTCTGTTGCTACGCGAGTTAAGTGAGTTTGCTCTATTTTACAGCCTTTCTTGCAACCGTTAAAGAGAATCCCTGCTGTTCTTAAGTGAGTAACACTGTTGTTAAGTGAATCCGGCTTCCCCGTTCACTTTCTCAAAAGAGAAATCACGTGATACTGCGACCATCATAAATACGAGTCAGTCGCCTAAGTGTCTGCATGTCGACCCCGTGGCGATGGGGATACGGCAACAGTGGTGTGGGAAAAAAAGGTCATAATAAGTCCCTTTGTTCAGTGCCGTTGTTACTTTGAACAGTCACTAAATGAAATGTTGTAAGTCAAGGAGTTGTGGTACAGTATTGGGAAACTAGAAAGAGCAATTTAAGGGTACAGAAAATCAGTGTCTTCGGATGCAGCAATCAAATTCCCATCAGTGTCCAAAAAAATAATAATAATCAGGATCACAGCTACAATTACAGGTAGTCCTCGGCTTACAACCACAATCAAACCCAAAATTTCCATCACTAACCGAGACGGTTGTTAAGCGGGTTTGTCCTGTTTTGTGACCTTTCTGGCAAACAGTGAAGTGAAACCCTGCTGTTGTTAAATGAGTAACGTGGTTGCTAAGTGAATCCAGCTACCCCATTGCTTGTCCGAAGGTCGCAAAAGGAGATCACATGACCCCGGGACACTGCAACTGTCATAAGTACAAGTCAGTTTCCATAGCATCCCAATTTTGATCATGGGGATGCTGGAACAGTTTTATTATAAGTCACTTTTTTCAGTGCCATCGTAACATCGAATGGTCACTAAACGAGAAACTAAACATCGTATTTATTATGATCATTGCAGCATCCCCAGGGTCACATGATCAAAATTCAGACACTTGCCAATGGACTCATATTTATGAAGGTCGCAGTGTCCTGGGGTCACGTGATCCACTTTTGCGATCTTCTGACAAGCAAGAGACAAGACAGCCACTTCTCTGAAATGGTGTAGGGCTCTGATGGCGAACCTATGGCACA